ATCAAGTTTAAGTTTAATTAATATTTTAGAAGAGTTAATGCAGTGTAAATGATGCAAAACCAAAAGCTGTGCTTTAAGTTATTCTAGGTATAGGGCCAGGAATTTGGCAAATAACTTCATTAATGATCTAAGCAGAAATCTTTTAACAATTTGTAATATATCAAACACCTCAGTAAACATTTCCAAAAAACACCTTTTAAAAAAATGTAGCCTGCATGGAAACAACTTAAAATACAATATGGTTGTTTAAAGTAGACTGATAACAGTATCTTGATAATGTATTGCAGTTTAGAATAGCCAGCTTCACATTTTAATATTCAGTTTAAGCTTCATAGTAAAACATGTTTCTTTTGTTATAGTGTTTTCTTCTCAATCTCCCCATCTTTTTTCACTGCTTCTCCCACCCCACACTTCATATTTTATTGTTAACTGACACTCTTGCACAGAGAAGATAATATTGCTGATAGAAGCGTATGTACTCACTATAAAGCAAACAGATTTTGTCACTGTCCAATAGGGAAATCATGCAGAAGCTGTCAGTCATACAGTGGATGAAATTACATTATTGAAATGATACACCTGTGACATATAGTCCAAAACCAAACTCAAAAGGTACCAATTAACAGATAGGCTAGTTTGTACCCTAACTACATGGGGAATCATTTCATTCTTGCATGAATATAAAATTGATTAAACAGGCTTTCAGTTTTGTAATAACTCTTTATCTATTAACTGTCAACAAAATACATATATGAAAATATTTTAATTCAACTAATCTGAAAGTAATTCCATTTGGTTATTTATTGAAAGTCATGTCTAATATTTGCACAATTTCCTTACTGTCACCACAACATACTTCTGGGGTGTCATATTGAAAGACAGACTCAAAGTCAATTCAGATGTTTCCCTTTTATTTGTGAAATGAAGAAATGCATTTTAAACAGTTTGTCTAAAATCAACCTATATACACAAAGAAAAAAACAACTATGTTTAGAATAGAGAAAGGTCATGGTGTTATCGTTAATACAATTTATTTATCAGAAGATAGTTAAATTAGCCATAAAATTGTTGCTAAAATTCCAAAACGTTCACCACAAGCACTGTATCATAGCTATATATTTATGGCAAATAATATAGGGATAGATTAACTATTATGTGGCTGCATACAATAATGTTAAATAAAATCTAATCTAATAGATTTGATAAATCTAAGAAGTTTAAAATAAAATATTATATAAAATATATTATTTAATAGACTACACATTTTATACAAAGAATAAAATGTTAACTATTCAAAAGATGCTACTGTTATTCTTTTACACATTATCACACTTCTTTACAACAAACCTAAAAAGATTTGCTTAAGGAAATACCGAAAACACCTCACCATAAAGAGGTTACACATACGCCACTTTTACTCAACACATTAGTGAGGTGGATGTATTTAAATATTTAAAGTACATATTCTCTACAAGAATTCTATTGTACTATTGTAGTAATACAAGTACATATTGTCTATTAAAAGACAATATAAGCCAGGCACGGTAGCTCATGCCTGTTATCCCAGCACTTTGGGAGGCCGAGGAGGGTGGATCACCTGAGGTCAGGAGTTGGAGACCAGCCTGGCCAACATGGTGAAACCCCATCTCTACTAAAGTAAATACAAAAATTATCCAGGTGTGGTGGCACACACCTGTAATCCCAGCTACTCAGGGAGCTGAGGGAGGAGAATCTCTTGAACCTGGGAGGCGGAGGTTGCAGTGAGCCGAGATTGCACCATTGCACTCCAGCCTGGGCAACAAGAGCGAAACTCCATCTCAAAAAACAAACAAAATATAAAGTTAAAGATTTGTCTTCTTAAATGTGTAAATATTAACAATGAATTTCAAGAACAGAATGTGGGCAGGGCATAGTGGCTCACAACTGTAATCCCAGCACTTTGGGAGGCCGAGGCAGGTGGATCATGAAGTCAGGAGTTCGAGACCAGCCTAGCCAACATGGCGAAACCCCATCTATACTGAAAATTCAAAATTTAGCTGGGCAGGGTGGCATGCGCCTGTAGTCCCAACTACTTGGGAGGCTGAGGCAGGAGAATCGCTTGAACCCAAGAGGCTGAGGTTGCAGTGAGCCGAGATAGCACCACTGAACTCCCGCCTAGGTGACAGAGCGAAAATCCATCTGAGAAAAAAAAAAAAAAGAATAGAATATGTAGAAGGATGTACATCCAAAACAGACTCAACCTGCACTCTGCAAAATATCCAGCAACATCTTAATTTATGTCAAAACAAACTTATCTTCCCTTATGTGTTCTTTTCTATTATTCCAGGAGACTTGCATCTTGTACCTTATATTTTTCTTATCCACAATGTACTAATCCTACTTATCCTTTAAGATCAAGACCAAGCAAGTCTTACCTACCCCCGAAGCATTCTCAAACAAAATCCAGTATGAAATGTTATTGTCATGCTCTGAACTCCTGCAATACTCATTAGACATGTAATCTCTTATTGTTATGGGTTGTTAACTCTACACTCAAGCATGAGCATCAGATTCCTCCCACATGGCAAGTAAGTTCCTGAAGGACAGGGAACAAGAAATCTCTCATTCCTTCCCAGTGCCTAGACACTAGTGCCTTGCACACGTTAGGCCCTTTATTATGAGCATTATGATGAGTAATAAAATGCAATAAAGGTTTGAATAACTATTATCGTAAAAATATAACAAATTTTTCATTTTCTATTTTGTTTTATCTAAATTAACATTCTGTGGTATAAATAACGTATCTTTAAAATCATAAGCAGTTGTTGATTCTCTTGACTGTCAAAAAACAAAATACTCATAAATAGAACTTTTAATGATTGCAGTAATACAGTTCATCAATTACATTTTTAAATTTCCTATTATATCTACGTTCCCATAGTTTGGGATAGTCGAGATAACAACCCTCAGAGTGGGGTTCTCCATCTGAGTTCTAACCTAATATTTAAAGTTGCACATGCTTCCGTGTTGAAAATGTATTTCAAAGTAATATAAATCTAACAAAATCAAAATATCAAATCCTTAACTCTACTTTTTTTTTTCAAAGAACAGAAGTGTTAAGGAAATCAATAAAACAATACAAACAACAGTTGGTTTGTTTTGATCAAAATAATGAGTTAATTTAAATGAAGACAAATCACTCTGACAATAGGTTGACGAACTTCTCTTTTTTCTCTGTGAAACTATTGAAAGGGTGGTTACAACATGGAACTTCAATATTTGGAAAACATTGTGTTGATAGGCTTTTAGAGACATCTCAGTTTGCAATATTAAGGACACTGTCCTATTACTAAACCCACTCACAGTTCTATGAAAGTACAGGTGGCTACTTTTAAGAGAAAACATTCATTTTATAAGCATCGTGACAGGCACTGTCCCAAGTCATCTCTAAGTTTCAAGTTACGTATCTGGAACATGTACCTGTTATAATGTTATAAAGCAAATAGAAAGAGAAACCAAAACAAATTATGTTATAGCCTAGCTTAACAGTATTTTAGGTCTTCCCTTAATAACCAGTTTTGAAGGAACCAGTGATAACTGACCTCCACCTAAGTGTCCTCTTCTCCGTTCTCCCTAAGGCTTTTAATAAAACCAGCTTTATGTTAAACGTGTACACATTATTTTTAATAGTCCTTGAGGGGCAGAGAAGGGAGGATGTGTGTTACATTTCAATAGGAAGGTATTCAACTGTAAAGATTTCAGAAATGAAAACTGTTGAAACCAAGTAGGTATTTTCTGACTTGTAAGTCCTACTGACTGCCTGAAAAGGTAAGAGGGGTGGAGAAGAGGACATAAAAACATTAAAGGGCAAATAATCTGTAACTTCTAAGAAGTATTTTTTTTTCTACCTGTAAAAATCTGAGTGATTTTTTTTTTTTTTTTTACTTCATTTCATATTCCAGGTCCCACGAGAGGAAGGGAAGGCATAATTGCTTCTAATTCTGAGGCAGAGAAAGGAGAGAGAGAGAAAGCAAGCAGTTCAGGATACACTAAAGGAAACCCCAAGAAATTTCACAACTCTTTGCCACAAATAGCCTTTCTTCTCACCCTGGATACCTCCTCCTTTACATCAGCAAGGCTCAGCCTCCACGCACGCAGAAGCACCATTCACAAATCCCTCCGTCACCCTTACCCCTTGCTGGCACCGTGTGTACGAGTCCCTGGGACACAAGCCAAAAGTCGAAGGGGCCAGGGGGGCACATGCGGTTTCAGCTTACGGCTTTCTGCTCAGGTGAACCAACCCATTGGTTTGTCCGCAGCGCGCGCACACACACACACACACACAGCCTGGGGCCCTTGACACGCCACCACAAAGCAATTGGTTCAATCTAAGTCGCTGCTGTTACTGCTGCCTCTGGGCAGGGTCTTGCTTCCAATCCAGGAAACTGGCGCCAGAGGACAAGCAGGCGGAGGCAAGAGGCGGTCCCGGCCCGGCACTGCGGCTCCTCCGGGAGCCCCGGGCTCCCCGCCCCCTCCTCCCCTTCCCCCTCTTCGCCGCCGTCCCCACCTCAGCACCCGCAGCCCAGGGCGCCAGCGCTGACCGGTCGCCTCTACCTGCGGGACGCGAGTGGCGAGGAAGGGGAGCGACCCGAAGCCTGCGCCAACTCTTGCCTCCTTGGCCAGCGCTCCGCATCGTCCTGGAGCGGCCGCCGCGGCCGCAGGCAGCAAACCACGCAGGAGCGCGGAGGAAATGGCCACGCAGTGCACTGGGAGCCGCGGGCCGGTGGGGAGCGAGCCCGCCCGCCTCCTTCCCACCCCGCCCGCAAGGCCAGGTCTCTGCGCCGAGCACGCCGGGCCCGCGGCCGGCGCTCCGGGCCTGGGCGCGCGCTGCTCCCGGACGGCCCCTACACGGCGCGGTCACCTGCCGAGCGGTCATCCCCGCGTCCGCCTGCGGCCAGCCCCACACAGCGGCGACGCGACGCGCGACCCGCTGAGCGCTGAGGCACCAGGGGCGTTACTACCTTGAGGGCTCCGTGCGCTTGTTAAGGCTCCTCCCGGGCACTCAGGGATTTATGTCTTCGGGGCACAGGGGTGTCCTTCCTGGTCCCCCTCCTCTGCCCTCCCTCCCCTTCTCGGCTGTTGGGCTCCTTCTCTCCACTCCCAGTTGCACAGAGTCGAGCTGCGTTATTTAATAATCCTCCTGCTCCTCCTGCCTGCGCCAGCAGAGCTGCTCTGCCCGAGCCACCGCTTCCCAGTCAGTCATGTTGAGAGAGAGAGAGAGAGAGAGAGGGGAGAGAGAGAGAGAGAGAAAGAGAGAGAGAGAGAGAGAGAAGAGAGAGAGAGAGAGACAGGCGGATTGGCAGTAGGTCGGCGACTATTTGTGGTGAGGGAGAGAAGAGCAGAGCAAGAGGAGGGCAGGGGAGGGACGTGGGGAGGCGCTTCCAAGTGTGTGAGTGCGCGGAGTGTGACTGTGTGGGGTGCGAGAGAGCCACCTCCCCGGCAGGCCGCGCTCCCGGGCTGTGAGGAGGGCGGGCCCCAGCGCGGCCTTTATACAAGGGGGAGTGGAGTGGGCTGGGCGGGGCGGCTTGGAGGGCGGCGCCCGGCCCACTGCGTCGGCCGGCTTCCACGCACGCATCCTCTGGCATCGACGCGCGCACACCCACTGCTGGCCCGCTGCTGAGTTTTCATTTTAGGGGCAGCAATATCCCACCGCGCTGACCTGGCCTTTTCCCCCAGCCCATCCTCGTGCTTACGTGGAGTTCAAGTGCATGGGCAGGTCAAGACTAGAGAATAAGGAGAGTCTGAAGAGATGTGAAGTGACTGCGGGGATGCTGGAAATAAATGCACTGTATTTCTCCTCTCCAAGGTTCCGATGTTATCTTTCTCTTCCTACTCTAAGGGAAGGAATTACCAGATTCTTTCTCTGCTTTTCCTTCTCACCCACACAATTCACATCCTGACAAGTGTCTTCCTTCCTCAGTAACAAGAAAAGAAACCTGGCTTCTTTCCTTTAAGCAGGTCACACCTCCCAGAAACCATTTGCAGCAATCAGTTCTGTAAGATAATGGCAGCACTGCGACTGTGTCCGAGAGTGGAACTTGTGTTCCTACAAGGAAGGTCCTACACAATACAGGCATTACAAGAGAACCAGCTACCAATTTGACATCATTTGACTGATGGTCCCCTGGAGAACATTTGCCAGTTTAGAGATAGAAAAGACTTTTGATGCATGGTTCTGTTGCCTACATAATTTATTTTCCCTTGATCCTCTCTCCTCTTGCACTGCCTCATTTCCCTTCAGGTTTACACTGAGTCCTGAACTCTTTCCCATCCATCCCCTTCTTTATCTCCACTCCAGTATATTTATGCCTTTAGCAGGCAACAGAGCAAATGTAGTGCATTTAATTCTGTGTGTGTGTGCGCGCGCGCACTATTTTTTTTTTTAACCCATTCTGGTAGAATGTAGGACCATTTCTAGGTAGAAAATACATCCCCAATATTAAGTTTGTACACCGACATCACCTCCCTTACCTCCTTCCCAGATTACAAGATGTTGTGGTCAGGTGCACTGAGGTATTGAGAAACAACTTCCAGAAATCAAGTGATCTACACTTTTTTCAAGCGCGCACACACACACACTGTGTAATCTGGCTATGATCTAACTTCTGAAATGTGGTTATATTGGGGATAAAAGCAAGATGTACTTTTTAAATGAATCTGAGTGGTCAATGTATATTATCGCATGGGGACAACTCTGCTTTTGGGAGACAACTGTAGAAAACATTTTTCATAAATTAGACAAAAGGAAGATAAGATTTAGGAGACTACGGAGGAGGCGGCAAGGTTGACAATTCAGTTGTCATATCTTCTTCCATGGCTTGTAACCATTGTACATCTTCAGGGTTTTGTCATATGCTGGCACCTTATATATTCTCTATATATTTTACCCTTTCACATTGATGTTCCTCTCTCCTAATTCTTCAATCTCTCATACAGAGTTTAGCAAACATTAAAAATGATTTAAGCATGTGATCAAGACCTAACGAAGAAGAGATATTAAGGAGTGTGATTAAAAAAAAAGTGATATTGGAAAGAACAGCAAAGTTGGAGCAAGTGCGTGAATATATCAATAATATAAATATATAGGCCATTAAAGCTTCTTTGATTAAGTACTGGAAAAATGAATGGACTAACAAAGCATATTGGGATTGATAGTGTGCCATATGGGACAGCTATTATTATTTCCCCAATTTTACAGACCGGGAAAGTTAAATTTTGAAAGTGTGTGTGGATAACCTAAGATGATACAAAGAATAAGTAATACCACTGGAACTCAACCTGTCTTATTCTACTGTCCATATCACCTCCCATTGCCTGGCTTAGTTAAAAATCTCAGGAGTTTCCTTGGAAATTTCGTTTGTGAAATAAGCTGACCTACAATCCTTTGGCATTTTTCTTCTACCTCCCTCCTTCTTATTACAATGCAAGAGCAATTTATGAAATGTTAGTATTGTTTAGGGCTGATCAATGATTTAAACAGTCTTAACATACTTGAACTCATCAATGGAAAAAGAAAACTTTCCTACGCAGTCTTTTCTGAAAGAAACCTGGTGTCATTGTAAAAGGTAATTTTGTAGAGGAAGTATTACTGAACGTTTGCATCTAGTGAATAAATACGTGGTTTGAGACCTGTAAACAGACATTTTAAAAGGTTATATCCTCCTAAAAGGATGATATTCAATCATATTCAGCAAGTTTGTGGTGTGTTCAGTGTCCTGGTTCTCTATTTAATCGTCATTAGTAACAATAATTTGATTATGACTCTATATTGAATACTTCAAGAGTATATATCAGACCAGATATTTCAAGGGCATTTTTGGTAACCACAACAGATTGTAATTTTTACACTCTTGGTTCCATTCATAATTACTGAGAACCATGAAAATCTGTCAATTGCCTTTATTCATTAAGGCATTACATGAAGGCGACGTTTCTTGCTTAATTTTCTGACAATTTTTCTTTTCAAATAAAGGCTAGAATTTATATGCACTAGACCAGAAAGACATGTGAAACATATAACTTAAAACATACTCCTGAAAAGTTTATTCATTTTAATGATTTTATATTTTTGCTGGAAAAAATCTGCACTAGAAACCCCATTTATAAATTATAATGAACCACATTTTAGAAGTTAAGTAAATGAATTATTCTCTTTTAAGATTGTTTAATGTTTCAAGTAGAATTCCCCACTTTGCAACACTTTCAATGATACAATTTTTGTTGTGATAGGAAAACAGAAAGTTAATGACTCTTTCCAATTTGTTCATTTTCATCTCATGTATGCTTGCTGCTGTTTGGTTCCCAAGTGCATTTAACTGGCAAGTTCAATGAAGATTTGGCATTGCACCATTTGATGAAAGCAGAAAAATTAGGTTGCCAATTACATATGTGCCCCTTATGTGCACTGAATTCCCACTGAAGTGATGAGCCAAATTAGAAATTCCTCAGTAGTAGTACCTAAAAAGTAAAATTAGAGCCCAGGGAAGGAAAGGGAGATTTTTTTTCCCCAACCCTATTACTAGTCTAAGACATTTTAAAAAGAGAATTAACTTTAATACATTTGTAAAGCAATGTTTGTAAATGGAGTGTCATTAAACATTTTTAAATTGCATCTCTTTTGTTCTTTCTGAGCTATGTTATGTTTCTTTGATTTACTTTACACTCTATCTTGATTAGCCAATCATTATGAAAAAATATATGAAGACCATTTCCCCCAGTTGTTTTAGCCTAATGGAATAAAAAAAATTCCAGAAAATATTACGCATATTGTATTAGCATTCTGGATTTCTTTCATATTACTAAGAGGTAAATTATCCTTCTGTGATGACTTTTGTAACATGGCATTACAAAATGCCATTATTAGTAATGTGGCATTATTAGTATCTTAGAGCAACAGGACTAGTTAATTGACATCAAGGCTAAAACTGGCAAGACAAGGATTGATGAGAAAATGTGAGATAGGAGATGTGTAGATTGACTCAGCTGCAGTTCTAGGTCCAGAGAGCACAGAAAAACTCAATCTTAATGTAGAAAACTCTTAACTGGGCAACCTTCCAGGTAGACAAGGCAGAGTAAACAAGACTTTAAATAGAATTATTCTTCAGATATCTGATAGTGGTGACTATACTTGGTAAGCTGTCTTTTTGCTGTGAAAATTCTGCCCAGTGGCAGGACAGCAAGATCTATTCATGTGGAAATCAAGGCAGAAGCTAAACTCAGGTGACTGGGTCAAAACAGTGACTGCATGAACTGTCTTTGATCAGGAAACTCCACAAGACACCTCGGATTCATGCTGTAGGACAAACTTGGGAGCAAGACTATAAAGGTGAATGTAAGCCACTGTCCTTGCATCTTGGCTATCATGTCCCACATTTACCAAATGATGTAATTCTAAGCCCATTTTGTGGGCTAAGGGGATGGATAATAGAGGACATGGAGAGGCATCTCTTACCCAGCAACTGAAGTAATCCTGAATTTCCAGGAAGACTACCCAGTTTAGGGAGCTGAACAAATTTTGAATAGTGTATAGATTTGTCAAAATAAAAATGATTTCCATTTTACATAACATCATTAGCCCAGAATTTCACAATATAAGAGAGGCTTTATATAAATGACAAAAACTAGGGAATACATTTTTCACATTTAAGTAGTGAAATGTGGTGAAAGGAGGCAAGAGCTAACAACATTAATGTTCTCTGAATTTAAGCCTCTCTGTTTATTAAGGGAGGAAAACTGTGTTAAAATAATACTTATTGACATAAAACAGAAAATTTTATAAACAGATTCACCATTAGAAACTTTTATATAATTTTCACATCTTTGTTTCTCTTTATTTTTTAAATTAATCAATTAGTTTTTTTGAAACAGAGTCCCACCATGTTGCCCAGGCTGGTCTCGAACTCCTGGGCTCAAGGGATCCTCCACCCTCAGCCTTCCAAAGTGCTGGGATTACAGGCATGAGCCACTTTTCTATTTCCAAATGTGACTAATGACATCTTTGGGAAAATAACATCAGGATTTCATACTTTCACATGGAATACTTTTTTTAGGTTTAAATACAGTAGTTCTCTCTTATCCTTGGGGGATATATTCAAAGACCCCCAGTGAATGCCTGAAACCATAGACAATATCATGCACGCACACACACACACGCACACATATCAGGAATAAAAACATTTATATATACACATACATACACACACACATATATATTTCTGTGTGTGTGTGTGTGTGTGTGTGTGTGTGTGTGTGTGTTTCTGCTCTGATAACCAAGAGGGCTACTAAATGACTAACAAGCAGGTAGTATGTACAGCTGGATATGCTGGACAAAGGGATGACTCACGTCCCAGCATATGGAGTGGGAAGGAGTGAGATTTTATCGCATTACTCAAAATGGCACACAATTTAAAACTTATGAATTGTTTATTTTTGGAATTTTC